CGTAGCCCGTCCAATTTAGAGCTAAATCGTGGCTACATATAGACCATGTCATGAAATTACACTTATATCTTTGTAGATATTATTGACACTGTGAACATGATGGGATATCAACCATCTCAAGCGCTGTCTGGCCAAAAACTACAGTGAATCAGGTTTGACTAAAAGTGGGCTACAAATAGCCGGTCTGACTACGAGCTAAATCATGGCTACGCTCGGGCTACGTATTGAACATGTCAAAGAAATGAAACTAAACACCCTGTAAACACTGTTTACTTTGCTTACATGATGGAATATCATACATCTCACAAGTTATTTTGCCAAAAAACGACATGAAACCAAATTCAAGGTTATTTGGGCTAGAAGTGGGTTACACATAGCCGGAATATATCGGGTCTATACTTAACCGAGACATTGAAATGACGGCTATTGGTTGCTGGGACAGTGGTCGACACTCCTGCTTAGGTCATTTCTAAAAGGCTCTCAAATCTCTCATATTGCCAAAAAAAGAGAAATATGTCATGAGTATCAGTAATGAAGTTTTACAATGAAATGTGAACACTGAGATTATCTATCATAAAAATGAAAGTCTCATCAAGTACTGTCAGATTTCTTTACACGCGGCATTAAGATGCTCCCAGCATGAATTTGTGAAAAGCATCTTGTTTTTCTCACCAGATCTCTTATTTACCTAAACCTGTCGACTTCAGTAATTGTTTCTCATGTGCCTGTTGCAAGAGTTTTTATCCAGCAGAGCCTCAGGCCTTCACAGATTGAGAAGTTGTGTCATTATCATACAACAGGGTGCCTCAGTGTCTGTACAAACATTCAGCTGATCTGATTTTCTCCACGTGAGTTATTAGATTAGATATAGGAAGGTTTAAGATCAACCTTGCAACCTTTTTGTTTTTTGATGTAGCGTTTAACATGCAGAGTCCATTTTGAAATACACCTGGGCATCATTAAAAGGGCTTCAGGCTGTTTACTAAATATTAATTGCACTTGTTGGAGACGCAGTAGAGTTCACAGTGCCTGTTTGTAAACAGTGCATTCTAATTTCATACCAAGCCATTTTTGATTTATTGTTATGGAATATCCACTGCAAAAGAATACATGGGGGATTTTTTTTGGCCAATCAGACAATGCTAATGGTTTCATCTTTCTAGCCCTGGGGAAAAGAGCCGTAGACACCCAAGGACACAGTTCTGAGATCAGTGCAATAATCCAAATTGCATTTAAAAGCTCCTCGAAACGGATTGTGATTAAAACAAATGTGGCTCATAAATTTGGGTCTGCGGCACATGTTGTGTTTAATGAAATTTCACGAGGCTCACTCTGCATGGCATAATGGAGGGAGAAAAAGTGGGAGGGAGAGAAGGAGAGGGGGGAAGTGAAAGGAAAGAGAGAACGATAGCAGCAAAGGAGAATGGAGAGGGTAAGATAGAGGAGAATGATATCAAATCCATCTTGCTGGGGGTAAACGGAGATGCTGCGCATGTTAATAAATGGCCACATCTGCTTAAGCCTGATAGACACATCCAGGCGACGGCAGAAGCTCGCGCCCCGTCACTCATGCGGGTGCCACAGCGACTGCCAGAGCTGATAATTGTCTGCCCTGTGTCTTTGTGTGAGGTTGGCAAATTCATAATCATCCTCTTAAGATTCTGCATCTGGGCACGGCCAGAAGGCTGTGGGGAGACAGAGTAATTGTATGCGGTTGGTTGGTCAGCATTTTCCTTTTCCATTAATCTCTCTGCTTCTTCTCATCATATTTAGAGGATTTGGAAGATATGAATAGTGTTTATTAGAACAGTGACACCATGTAAATGAGTTGTGTATCACAGCATCCTTATCTCTATCTCCTAAATCTGTAGGCATGCAGGACCTAGTTGCAGATTTAAAGTTAAAAATGATGGAAAGTGCAAACGGAGGACATGAAGGACGTAAAAAAAAGCAGAAATCAAGCTCACAAAGGTCAAAAGCAATGCTGTTGTCAAATTAGGCTAAATTGAAATAATAAATTAAATGTTTTTAGTAATTATTAGATTGTTTTATTTAAACAGAATAGTAAAAAAAGGCCAAAATACACATAAATATTGAGGAAGAAATGTAAAGGTATATTATATTAATGTTATATTCTTTCTTCTCTAAAGCACCAAAGTAAACATTTAGCAGAATATCCAAGTTACAAAAAGTATAAAATAGCACTGAAAAAGCATTGTAAAAATTAAAATGGAAAAATTTGCCTTGAAAATTGCTTGATATCTGTGGTAGTATAGAAAAGTTCTACTGTAAATATCTCTTTTTGACTAGTCATGCAGGTTTTAAAATACATTATACTGAGTAAAATGAGTTTCATTTCGAATTTCAGTAACGGTTGAACTGTTTCTTTGAATACGAAGAATTAAACGAAGAAATCTGATGCTGCAATACTTGCGTACTTATGTGTGATTTTGATCTCCCTTCAGAAAACCGGCTCATATTGGATGCTTTTGCCCAGCAGTGCAGTCGAGTACTCGGCCTCCTCAACAGCAACGGACGGCTCCTTGAGCCCCAGCCTTCTCGCGTCCCTCCATCCTCTTCCATCTCCTCTCTTATAAAACAGGAGGACAGCTGCCTGTCTCCAGGAGAGAGGCTCAGTTCTAAGCCCAGATCAGAGGACTCATCCCTGGAGAACACAGGTGAGGAGAGCCAACGGGGCAACCACTGGAGCCAGCAGCAGACTTCCGCTTTCCTCCAGATTTTCACAGAGTCGCTTCAGAACTACCTGCTCTCTGGACCCCAGTCATCAGACAGTGAACGGAGTCGCCCGGTAGAGGCTGAACCGGCAGCATCAGGGTCCCCGAGGCAGATCTTAGGTGGCTGGGCTTCACCAGCACCGTCTGAATCATACGGACACCCCTCGTCCACACTGCCTGAGGAAGATGAGGAGGAAGGTTGTTGTCCACGCTGTATGGAGCTAGAACAGGAAGTTCTTAGTCTACAGCAGGAAAACGAGGAACTGAGACAAAAACTGGACAATATACCAGGTATTAAACTTGATGAAATTTGATAATTTGGTTTTATTTCTGTCTTGATATTAGACACATAATCCACTGTAAGATTTTTTTTCCCCCACAGAATCATTATTACTATCCTAAGCTTTTAAAGGTGCACAGTGTAATTAAAAGGGGTTCATTCTGTTCACTAAATATTTGTTGAACTTGCTGGAGACACAGAAAATTCTCATTACACAAATTTGTAAAGAGAATCGTTTAAAAATCTGTTGTCAACAAAAGAGAAATTCTAAAGTCTCCCGGCTGTTTGCCACCAAAATAAAGGTCTGTAGTGTAATGTTTGAAAGCAGAGAAATTAAGACAAATATTAGTACTGTAATTTTACTGTTGTTCTGTAAAATAAAATAATTATTAAATACTATATTATTCAGTATAATAATATTATTGCAATACTAATACTTGTCTTTTTACATGTTTATTTTGTATAATTTATATAATAAAATAAAAAATATAATTTTTGAATATTATTATTGAATAGTCTTTTTCTTTTTCTTTTTTGTCCTTAGCTGATCACATGTCTGACTTTTGCAGTGGAAATTATTTAAATTTTTATTGAAAGTTTCAGTTTTGGACTGCTTTGTGAAAATTCCCTTTTCACAGTGTATTTGTGAGCTATGATGAATTTATTCCACAACTGAAAGTTATCGAGACATTTGGCTGATCTTGTATTTGTCACTATAGAGGGGAAACAATAGTAAATATTAAAGATTACAATAGCTTTCTCTGGGCCACAGAGAATATCAAAATGAGTAGTTTGCATTCATTCACAATGTATAAAACTTTAATTGGAAAAAAAATACTCTGTGCACTCTTAACAGTACATTGTATTTTGCTTATGTACAACAGCTTGGTTGGTTTAAATAAAACTAAAAGTTCATCAGCCAACAAGTTTTCCTGGTTTTGCCTTTAACAGCTCCTTGCCAGAATGTTCTGGACTTTTTTAAGACTGTTCTTCAGCACTACAACCAATTTGTGCAGCCCCAGCCTGAAGAGCAGCTTACCGAGGTGAGCCTGACAAAAGACCGTTCAGTGATGTTAAAATAGTCATGAAAACCACAGAGACACAGGTTACGCAAGAAACTATTACCAGTGGAAAAAGAACTGAAACTGTCAGTCAAATAGAAATCTAATCTGAGGTTATGAAAATATCACTTTGAAGAACTGTTACGTAAAACTAAAAGCAACAGAATCGTTTAGCATCCCAGTAAAGTTTCAGTTCTCCATATTGAATTTGCCTGTTTTCTGGTACAATATTCAGTGCAGCGTCTGTTTAAATGTTGATGCATTAAAGCGCATTAAAGATTTCTTCCCCTCTACAATCTATAATCTCATAATCTCTGTCTTTTCTAAATAGGGCAGTAAACAGCTTCTGGGAAACTATCCTCTCTTCATCACCAATAAGCAGTGGGACGAGGCAGTCAACTCCTCAAAAAAAGATGGCCGGCGGCTCCTGCGTTACCTTATCCGGTTCGTGTTCAGCACAGATGAGCTGAAATACTCATGCGGTCTGGGGAAGAGGAAACGTTCGGTACACACAGGGGAGCCGGGGCCGGAGAGAAGACCTCTCAACCCCGTCAAGGTCACTTGTCTCAGAGGTAGTGAGCTAAAACTTTCTTACACTTTTTTTGATTTTAGCGTCTAATTGTAATCAGATTATCACTGCGATAATTATGCAAACTTAATTTAGCAACTCACACATTCTATCTCCCTCATCCATCTCTGTCCCGTGGCGTTCCCTCTCACAGAGTTTATCCGGATGCACTGTGTTTCTAATCCTGACTGGTGGATGCCCTCTGAGGAGCAGATAAACAAAGTCTTCAGCGATGCAGTAGGGCACGCGCGGCAGGGCCGGGCTGTAGGCGCTTTCCTGGCCAGCGGTAGCAGCAGTAGTGGTAGTTTATACATGGAGAGCTATGACGGGCAGCTCTCTCAGGATGAGCTCTATCTGAAGGGCTCGCAGAATGGTTTGGGGGACTAAAGAAGAAAAATACGTCCAAATCATGGATCAAGGTGAGGAGTGAGCCCTCCGGATCGGCTCATACAGAAATTGCAGCACTTACATGATGTTAACGTGGCTTGTGTATGAATATAATCCTTATTCCTTCCTGTCAAAACATTCCAGGGCATTCACACCTACCCACTAAATTATGTGGGATTCTTCCAAGCTTTTTTTGTTCAACTTAAACGGTTAGTGGTCACTAGGCAGCAGAGTTGGTTGAATTCTACACAATATCAGATTTAGTATGTGCTCCATTTCCTAATTCATTCCATCGAATGTGAGCAACATGAATGTATCCATTTTACTGCATTGTAAATAATGAGAGCTTCCTTTCTTGTGTCAGATTGGTCAGATGTTCACACAGACAGCCTGCAAATGAGGTGCTAATATGATTTTCTGTTATTCTCTCTGATATGGTTCAATTTAAAGTGCTGCCCTCTATTTTATCATATGATGTTGAATAATCTGTGATGTTTATAAAAACTGTAATGTTGCGAAATCAGTTTCATAGTGGCTGCAGGATGATTTACTGAACTCTACAATTTGTCCGTGTCTGTGATTGTGGAGATACAGTAAGTCTGTAATATAATGCGTTGGGTGGCTTCCTAATCTTTCCTCTGATCCAGTAAGGAGGCGATGTTGTTTGTAATTTGTGTTGCTGGTTCTTGATTGTAGTTCGTCAAGCACCACAAAGATCATGTTTAAAGGATCAGCCGGACTTCATTTATTCTACCACATTATGATATTCTGTGTGACTGCATAAAAGACTAAATGAAATGCCTTAAAAAGAGACACCATCTACCACTAAGAACTACAAATACTGCCAATTTCAGACTGTTGTTATCTCTTAGTGTTCATGTTACATTACTGGCCTCTGGCTGTTTGGGTTTTCAAACAAGAAAAATGTGTTTGAAAACGGACCATCTTTCTTTAATGCCTTAGACTCTGTCTGTGAAAATGTTTATACATCCAGGTCATCGTGTAATGTCTGGTAGAATTCAGTCTAATGTCATTTAACTACTAATTTTGAATTCATTCTCCGTGGCGCTTCATCAGACGTCTGATGGTGGGGAATCCCTAACATTTAAACCTCTTCACATAGCATGAAAACTTGTGATCATTAAGGGAGTTTCATATCTGAAGATCTGTGGCCTCATTCATCTGCTACTAAAGGCTACTGTTTCGCCCAAGTTCACATCTTCATGTTCAGGTTTAAATGTCAGCAATTCCCAAACATTAAACAGCTGATAAAGTTGTGTCAGAGAGGTATAAAGACTTCAAAATAAGTTACCAAGTTGCTGTTGCCTTTGACTACCAGACATACAAAAGCCACTGTTGTTGTGATATGTAGCCTGTTGTGATTGTACAAATCCATGGTGATTGGAAATTGTTAGTCCTCTAGTCTGTTCAAAGAACGTGTCAACACTGTGAACTCCACCAAAAGTGATGAGACTGTTTTTCCTCTTACTTATCAATGATATTTTCTTTTCAAACAGAAGATGCGTTTATGTAATGTGGACAAAAAAGAGAAAATACAATGAAGCAAAATAACTGATCCAGACAATACCATCTGTGTTGTGTTTCAATAGTAGCTACTCTATTAATTCTAGACATTGAACAATAGATGGCAGTAGACAACAATAAAGCCATTGCAACGTTCCTTTTTGAACCCAATCCAAACAAAGGTTGTCAAATTCACTCCAGTGTGAATAATTGCAGATGTCTGTGGAGTGAGTGTGCGTACACTTTATGAAATTATTCGGATGCATCATGTTAGCCTATTTATGATAAACAAGAGTGCAAAATTGGGCTCAAAGTGAAAAGCGCTTTTAAAAATCAGCCAGCACACCAGATGGACCAAGCTGAGAGACCAAGGCCAGCAAACCAATTTAGTTTAAGTTCTTCTTCTTGTTTTTCAGCAGTTTAATGACCATCCACTGTAAATTAAGTAAAGTTATATCTTCAAATTAGTATGTTATGTAATGCACAGGCATTTCCAGGCATTGCGCAATATATGTGGCTGAAACAGAGATTTAGTTTAGCCGTAAAAAATCATCTTCATCATGGGACAGTTAAGCAGAGAGATAGCATCATACCCCACGCCATGTACTCACACACACACAGAACTATCATCACTGTGATGGGGATTTTGATTCATTGACTCGAATCTTTTGAATAGGTTTACTAGCAGAATAAATCCGATTCTGATTCACTCAGTGACTCTTTTTGCAGGTTACAGCGGTACAAACGAGCGAGTCATTGAATCATTCACACAACCGCTTAGTTAAATGCACCGAATCAACCGGAAATGTGTTTGCTTGCATTTAATCTCTCTCTAGGTTTTGGCGATCGGTATTCCAGTTAAATTCGTTCAGATTCATCTATCCTTCATTTACTTGAAAAATCTCATTAGACTCCAAACCCAGTGATAAATCTCTGCAAAAAGCTAGTGGGCGTTCTTATAACCAAGAACTTTCCAAAGGCTTTACTCGATTTACTCTAATTTAGGGGTGGGTTAATGATGAGCCTACATGATTAGCAAATCGGGTAAAGCTGTTGAAAAACATTTTAAACGTCCACTGATTTTGTCAATTTTGGTTGTAAAGAGACACCTGAGCACAATCCTTAAAACAGCTGTTCAGTGAAGGGGCCTATTCTTTCAGGAAGTCCAACCAATGTGCTCCTTCGCATGTCCTACTCGAATGCTATCTGAAGCCAGTAGCCCCTCACTGCAGAACACAAGATCCAGGGGACGTGGTTGGATCCACATCTACGGGGGGGAGATTGGTAGGTTTAGGGGTGGAGATGGGTGGGTTTAGGGATCAGGGGGTGGAGACGGGTAGGTTTAGGTATATGTAAGGTGGGAGGAGTTGGATCAAGATCTTGTGTTCTGCAGTGAGCACCATCTCATTTGAAGTGCATGAAAATAAACGAGAACGATTCATTCAGTTAAAAGATTTGTTCAAACTAACCGATTTGTTCACCTAAAGCAGTGTTTCTCAACCCTGGTCCTGGGCGCCCCCCAGCACTGCACATTTTGTGTGTCTCCCTAATCAAACACACCTGATTCAACTCATTAGCTCATTAAAAGAAACTCCAGGACCTGAAATGGGTGTGTCAGATAAGGGAGACATACAAAATGTGCGGTGTTTGGGGGCACCCAGGACCAGGGTTGAGAAACACTGACCTAAAGGATTCGTTCAAAACTCGTTCACCAAACAAACAGCTTCAGCATCGATAAGTTTTCCCACACTTATTACAGCGTGCTCCCCGATTCCCAGTCCAAGTAGAGCTCAAATTAGTGATCTCTGCTAGATTGTTTACTATGTTCTGATATGAACTATAGCAGCACGGAATTGAGTTGCCTTTCTCTTTAATTCAGCTGCATACTTTATTGCGGAGCCCCCACTAAATGTTGGAGGGCGGGCCGCGCAGCAGTGCAGTGAGTTGTCAAAAATCTGTTGTGGTGGTGACGCCGAGGGTCCAGAACGCCCACTACGGTAAATGTGAAGTTTGACTCGCCAGGGATTTGATATTTATTATCAACGTTTCAACTGTGATTGTCTTTTTGAATTGAGCTGCACGGTAATGCAGCGATTTCTCTCACTGCAACTTCGGGTGGCGGACAGGGACAAGGGCGCGGGCAGTGCATAGTTATCCAGTGCGCAAGTGTCATTCTGCTGGATTATCCCAAACAACTGCGTCTCCAACTGCAACGGGATGCCTCTGATTAGCCTGGACGACGATGATCAGAGATGGGTCCCGACGCACGTCAACGTGACCGTCCTTCGTGCGAGGAGTCTGCGGACGAAGGGCAAGCAAGGCAGCCGCTATGTTTACACCATCATCCAGGTCGGCAAGGAGAAGTACACCACCGGCCTGGTGGAGAAGGCTGAGGAGCCGCAGTGGTACGAGGAATGCTCGTTTGAGCTGCTGCCCGGTCTGCTGGAGGCGGGTGGGATGAGCGCGTACCCACCCGGGAGCAGCAACCTGGTGCTCACCGTGATGCATCGCGTGCTGATCGGGCTGGACGTGTTTCTCGGGCAAACTATTATTCCCCTCCACAAAGTTTTTCAAGATGGAATGTGTCCCAGAAATGAGTGAGTATTTCAGCCAATAATAGGATCAATTAATAGGCCTCTTTGTCGAGGGCCTCCTTGAGACTTTTTTTGTACTGTGGCAGTACCATGGTACTGAATGATTATCATATTCATGTAAGTGTACATTAAAAAAGAGCTTAGTTAAAAACCCTGATTAAACTATCAGACTAGTTGCTAGAAGAACAGCTAACCAGTATTTGTTTCAGCAGGTAAATGTAAAACATGGTATAATAAATAGATATATCATAGTTTTCATTTTCATTACTTGAAATAAATAAATGCTAACTCAGATAAAATATTTTCATTTGATATACTGAAATAACTAAACATAAAACTGAAATTTAAACTGAAAATTACTGAAAACTGTATAGACTTAAACTAATAAAAAAGACAAAAACACTTAATATATTAACGAAATACGCTTTAACGAAAAGCTTATTAAAAAATATGAATTAAAAGTATATTAGTATCTCAATGATACAAAAAAAAAAAACACTGATTATAGGGTACATGTAAAATAAAAAATAAAAAGACATGGCATTTTTAGTCTTGTTTTACCACTTTGCTTCATTCCCAAGAGTGAGTGTAAAAAAGTATAGCCTTAAGATACAGGATCTTTATGATTTTTATAGCCTTGTGTTCATGTAACTGAATAAACTTTTAAAGAATAGCTTTTCTTGCTTTTCAGTTGATATAGTCCTGGGAAATTTGACACAGGCATGCCAAAACCTTGAGTCTGTGATTTTGGGTCAAAGAATTTCTGTGCACCCATTTCACAGTTGGGCAGACATTCCCATTCGCAGAACTGCAGGAGGATTCTTTAACCAGCCACCAAAACTTAACCTAAATTACTGATGTCGCATGCAGTATCAAACAAATGCATGGTGGTCGAAGCCACACAAGCAATCTATGGGAAGTGTAAAACCAACACTGCTGTGAATACCAGAGTAATGGGATATGTTTTTACAGACACAACAACAGCAACATACTTGGAGGGGCATGCTGCATCTAGTCCTCATCAGTGTGCTTGCGTAGTGCTGGCACAGAGTCATGCCTCCACACAGGGCAGTACCAGCATGTGTCAGAATAGTCACAGAGTCTGCAGTGAACTCAACAAACACGCATTTCACTGCACTCCAACAGACGTAACCTTCCTGGAATCTTGTTCTTTTTTTCATTGTTCAATTTTATTTAAATATATCTCTTGTTTAAAAGCTTGCGCATCTAATAGATGAAATTCAACTAGCAGTGCCGTCATTAGGAGGAGTAAATCATTTGCCATAAGAGGGGAGGACGAGATCAAGTAGGTGGGCCTCTTGGCTGAAACCTCTATAAACAAGTGAGGGAGGAAGTCAGTGAGCCATGCTGAGCAACAATAACATTGTTATTTTCATGTTCTATATGCATTCCTTTATTCTCACGTCCACAATTCAACTCTCAAATTCACATAATGTTCAACTGACTAACAAAATTGATTTAATTAAAGACGATCAAGATGTTCGTAAGCACTGAATGCATAATATAATGTATATTAATCAGCATATTTGTTTCTTCTCAGTGTAAGCAGATTGCTGGTTTTAATAGTTCCATATCTGCCAGGGTGTTTCAAGAAAATCTAAAATTCTCAAAAACTAGATTTCTCAACTTCCTAGGGGGCCCCAGGACCACTTTTTTATTTTAATTAATAATTACTACTATTAGGATTTCAGTTCATACTTAT